TGAAATACAATTTTCCTTATATTTCTATATACTGGGTCTAAATATTTATCCCTCCCCTCTCAAAAAAAAAAAAAAAAACCATGAAAAGTGGTAGATACTAAGTTATATCATTCGTACATATAAGTATTTCTGAAACACTTTATATTTCCAAGAAACATTTCATTATTTCTGTCTCTGTAACCTAAAATTCATGGTAGTTAATTTTTTTTTCACATTTCTTTTTCAATGTGAAAAAGACCTTAAAACAAATACATGATCATTTTCTCAGAAACAGAATTACAATTTGAATTCTGTAAGGTGTATAATTAGTGTGATTATATTATTCATTTAAGAAATTGTTGTGGAGAATTGCATGCTGAAATATTAATATTGTGTTAAATAATTTAGAAATACAAATATTAAGATGATAGAAGTAGACAAGAGTATTCTGTAATATTGGGACTAGCTTAATAAAGATTTCAGAGGTAAGGCCATCACAAGGACTGCTGATAATATTATATCACTATACATCTATGCTCAGAAGCAAGTACTCTGCACAGTATGATTCGAATAACTTGCACTTTTTGAGGGCTTGTAATCTTGGTGTGGTACTGTGGGTTACTGTGCTGGACTACAAATTCAGCTTGGACCGCAAAGTCAGTGGTTCAAGCTCACCAGCTGCCCCTTGGGAACCCTATACAGTGTCACAATGTGTCAGAACCAACTCAACGACACTTAACAGCAACAATATAATTTGCATTATGGTATATATGAACTGACTCAATGGCACTTCACAACAGCAACAAACGGTATACATGGAGTCCTGGTGCTGTATGTAGAGTACTGAACTGCTAACCACAAAGTTCAAACCCACCAGCTGCTCCTCAGAAACTCTATATAGATAGCTATGAGTTGGAACTGACTCGACAGCACATAACAACAACAACATCATGGTGGACATAAGGAGTCCAGGTGGCACAGCATGATAAGCACTGGACTGATAACTGCAAGGTGAGAAGTTCAAAGCCATCAGCTGCTCATGGGAGAAAAATGAAACTGTCTGCTTCAGTAAAGATTTACAGTCATGGAAACTATGAGTCAGAATTGACTTGATGGCAGTGAGTTTAGTTTTTGAATGATGGATATAGTGTGACTAGAGTAAACCAACAGTCATACAACTCAGTTTAATGAGTTGTCTACATCCTGTCAGGCACTATGCTAGGTTCTGAGGATTCAGCGGGAGCCAGACATTGTTTCTGCCACTGCAGGATACAGTTTAGTGGGAGAAGAGAAAAATGTGCAGGGGGTAATGACATGTAGACAGTTGGGTAGAGGTAGGGAGGTAGTAACACACTAGACAGAAGCCCTGGCTTGAGCAGACACAACAAGACGAGAAACAGTATACTATAAGCAAAGAAATACAAGCAATAAGCATAATAGCAGTTTAGGCTGATATATAGACATGGTCAAGTTCATAACAAACATCATCTTATGGACCAGACTCTATCCTGGAGGTGGACAAGAAAGTTACAGAATAATATTTATCAGAGAAGTGGTTTGGTTAGATCTGCATTTTTAATGTCTCAGTCTAGCAGCAGGCTAGAAGACGGATGTGAGGGTGACAAGGAGAAAGGCAGGATAACTAGTTCAGCTGGTGAAAAGAAAGCAATGGTATGGAGGAAGAGAAGAAATATTTAGGTCATAAAGTGTTAATGGACTCATGTGGTGCTGTGGGTTGATGCGCTGGACTGCAAGGTCGGTTTAAATCACAAGGTAGGCAGTTCAAGATCAGAAGTGACTCCGCGGAAACAGGGTCGCAATGAGTTGGAACTCACTCACCAGCAAGGAACAACAACACACCATATTGCTAATATTTGCTTACCTGTGGAAAGTAAGTGGGGAAAAAGAAACCAAGAATGGGTAATGGGAAAGGTAGAGGTGCATTCAACTGAATTTGTAGAATGCAAAGATGTCAATTGATTTAGCAACTAGAAGGTGGTATTATTGTTAAGTGCTGTCAAATCAGTTCCACATTTTGACCCTGTATAGGATTTCTAAGAGCAGTTGGTAGGTTTGTACCTTGTAGTAATGGTGATCTTAATGAGTTCAGTCCCCCTGTAGTTGTGGTAGCAGAATCCAGAGGGGTGAAAAGGAAGCAGACATGGTGAATATAGATTATGAAATTTGGAGAAGGAAAGAAGAAAGATTAGATATGGGTCAAGGAAGGCCTTTTTGTTTGTTTTTGTTGTTTGTTTGTTTTTAAAGAATGAAAGAGATTCTGAACATGGTTACAGAGGGAGCCATCTGAGAAGCAATATTAGGGAGAAAAGGGCTTCCAGGTGATCAATACTAGGGAGAAGGTGGGAAACGAAGAGCATGGAAGGCATAAATGGAGTGGTATGCTTTGAACAAGTGGGGAAACTCCTTGAACTCTCAGGCTGGAGGAAGTAGACACAAGAACTCAGACCTAATTAAGATCCACTGTGGGCTTTTTAGATAGAAAATGATATGATTCAATCGTGTTTTAAGAAAATTAGTTTGGCTCAAGCATGCAGGATGTATTGGATTGGGGAGAGGCTGCAGTGATAATAATTTAAGCAGGAGATGATGAAAACTCAAACTAGTGTAGGAAGGACTACAAAAGATGAAAAAATAAGCTACATTTCAAAAGGCAAGATGACATAATTCTGGGATAAACTAGCATAGGACAATTCAAGGAGAAGAAAGAGTGAAAATGACTCAAGAATTTTAAATATTAACCTGGGAGATTAAAATGGTGGTATTAGAAATGGGGCAACTGGAAAGCAAAACCAATGCAGAGTGGTAGAAATGTTGGGTTTAAAATAAATGTATTTGGGGTGATGGCCCTTAAATTTTAAACTTTTAAAAGAAACAAAATCTTCTATAGGATAGAAGACTATACAGAAGATGGCAAAATTTAAGTATGGGTAAGAATAAATATTTCACTGTGATAAGGCATATATACCAGTAATTTAGGGCAACTCTAATACTTCCACACCAGAGAAAACTTAAACTGAAATTGATATTTTAAGTATATCAGGGTAAGATTAAATATTTTCTACAAATTTTATTTTACTGGCTAGAACTAAGGCTTTACTGCCATAGGAAGACCAGACACAGTAAAACATTATCCTAAACCTTTAATTTTGTTTTCAAATTCCAGATATTGTACATTAAAAATGTGTTTTCCAGGTGACAGATGTATACAACACAATCAAACTCTGTGCATTGGTCTGTGATTCACTACTATGCAGGTTCTGGCTTCAGTCAATACCAACTATTACAATTAGCACCACTACTTCACACTACTAATTCCTGATATTTTTAAGCTGGGAGAGATTTTACACCTATCACAGGGGCTTGAGCATGGCAAGTGTCAGTGTTTTGTTTTTAATGATTAGGTTGGTTAAGTACTTCACAATGTTTATGTGACAAGTGTGAACCACAATTAAGTTTCAGGGAACTTAAATTGTTTCCTTGCTCCTTCTTCATTGTCTGAATTTTAGAAAATAATTAGGGGACTAAGAGATGTTGGGAGTATAAAATTATGAACTGGAATAAGAAGCTTTTTTCTGTTCAACTATGTGGAATAATCTACATGAATGCTTTCTGAATGCCAGTAACTTATGGTGCCAGAATCATAATTAGTTTGAGTAACAAATAGTCTCCCTAGTAACAAAAAGAATGGAAGCAAAACAATTTAGAAATCTGTTATCTAAATGTTGTATGCTATCCGCAAAATTCTTGAACAAAGGAAAATTTTGTTAAAATTGCCTAATCAAAAAGACGGCCTAAATGTCTCCCAAAACCCTTTCATAATTCCTAAATTTTTGTTAATACATTTCATGCAAAGATAACAAAAGTACATAACAATCAAATCTTCCACATTAAAATTAATAGCCAACATAGTGAGGGGAGTGGTGCTATACAACTATATATTATATAGTTCAATATAATATGAATGCAAAATTAGAGGCAGCATGATTTGATGAGGAAAAAGGCGTATTTTGAAATGCAGTACAAAACAGCATGGCTGAGCAAATAAATTTGACACAATACTCCTCAAACTTCCAAGTATTTACAGTTCAAGCACATAACAAATGAAGAAGCAAGACATTTTTGTTTTGCAATTATGTTACGAAGTTCTTCTCCCTTTTATTCTATCAAATACGATCCAAGATTTCAATTTAAATAAACAAAATCCTGGATAAGTTTTCAAGAAATCATCCTCAGCTCAAAGGGGTCTACTTTCCATCCCTATTAAATGATTTGATACTTATGCCTATAAAATTCACTTGAGGTATCTTAGAATTATTTCACAAATGGAAAGTCCTTAGGGACCATTTACTCCAAACCTCTCATGTACAGATGGAACAATCTAGGTTTAGAAATGAGAAGTAACCTGACCAAGGTCACGGGGACATTAAGAAGCAATGCTGGAACTAACATTCAAGAGACCTGACTCCCCTCTTAAACTGAACATCTAATGGAGCATGTTTAAGAAATGTCATAGTGTTGGGTGATCAACACAAAGGATTATTGTACTCATTAGTATTAGGCAGAAATGATGGGTAAATATGGGTGGATATACTATATTATTCACAAGATACACCATGCTTCTCTTTTATGTCTTGTCACATGTCACAGCAGTCACCATGTTCCACTAGACAGCAATTTTAACATCACAGAACCCTCTTGTGCATACTGCAGTTTAAAGACCATTCACTTGCCAGGATACATTTTTTAAAAAAAGAAGGAGATTCATCCAAAGCTCGCAAACTTCTAACTTTCCAGTCTTACCGCTCTGGTGGGCACATCAATTTAACACTTTCCTCACTACCTTTTCCACTTATCCCCTGGATTTCACCATTCAGACTAGGTATCCTTACCTAGCTGTACGCCTCAGCCTGACCTCCCCCGCTACACAGGCCCCTCTATCACCTAGTTTCTCTGTCCGCAAATCTCTGTCTTTCTGAACCCCATGGCCTTCTCTCGCTTACACAGTGATGTGGCCGGCGCCGCGAACCAAAACAGGGTCTGGGGCATATCTTCGCAGATGCTCCTCGCTCACTACCCGAGGCGGAGGTAGCGCTTCCTCCTCCTCTTCCTCCTCCTCCTCATCTTCCTCTTCGTCGTCGTCGGGGCCAGACACCGACGACGACGATGGCGACGACGACGACGTTGCCGCTTCTTCCTCCTCCTCCAGTTCTGAGATAGTGTCGAACTCCGCCATGTTGGGCAGCAGGATGCTCATCACGTGACCTCGAGATCGCCGCCACCCTCTAGAATAAGAGTTTGAACCTGCTGAGGAGGGGAACAAAATGAAAGGCAAGGGAAGGGGGTAAGAACAGGATTTGAGGAAACGCGCCTGCGTGTTGGGGAGACACGCAGAGGGTAGTCCACTGGAGGCGGGGGAACCGGGGGAGAAGAGCAAATTCACTGTACGCTTGCGCAGCTCTTAGAGGCTTGGATCGTTAGAGGTGGACTCCAGAGACTTACTGAATGAAGTCCAGTCTGCCGAATGCTGATCTTAATACTGCTCTGTCTTAATACTGCTCTTTGTGCTTCTGGAGACCTGTCTTCGAATTTTAGTTTCTGTTGATTAACTGTGGCGCAAGGTCGATTTGAACCGCAAGTCGGCAATTCAAACTCACTAGCAGCTCCTCAGAAACGTGTACAGGGTCGCTATGAGTTGTACGGACTCGACGCCACTTAACAACAACAAAAACAGTATTACCCTAGAGAACCCTAGTCATGCAGTGTGAAAACGCTGGACTCCCAAGCAGGAGGTGGGCGATTGAAATCAACCAGCGGCTCCACTGGAGAAAGATGTGCTTCCATAAATATTTACAGCTTTGGAAACCCTATGGGACAGTCCTACTCTGTCCTGTAGGGTCGCTCTGAGTCGGATCCACTCTCAAGGACAGTGGGTTTGGGTTTATTATTACTCTAGTGCAGGTGGGTGAGGGAAAGTATATTTCATAAAAATGAAATAGAAATTTTGCCCAACATAAGTACCTCGAAATTGCCTTTGTACCTGAATTTTTATACCTATTCCTCACATTTGTCCAGCATTATGTACTGGTGTAGAGCTGTAGTGTGACACTGGACGGCAAGGTCGATTTGAACCACAAGGTCAGCAGTTCAAACTCACCAGCGACTCCTTGGAAACCCTATACGGGGTTTCTATGACTGGATGACACTTAACAACAACAACATAGTTTAAAATACTATTGCATCAGAATTTTGCCATGACCCTAGTAAGCAGGATAAGTATTTTTATTAACACTTTACTGAAGAGAAACTTTCTATTACTGCATCTATGCAACATTTATGGAGATTTTACTGTCAGGAACTGTGCTTAGTATTCTATGTGGAGGTCTCATTATGACCATGATAATTTCATTTTACAGATGGGAAATTTGATACAGAAAGGATAAGTGTGTGTCCAATGTCATGGCACTACTAAATGGCAGACCTGGTTGTAAACTGGGAGGTCTCTTCTAATTCCAATAGCCTAATTCTCTTAATCAAAGGGGAATATTTCTGAAGTTGTTAGGAAAGGCTTTGGAGAGTGGTGCTTTTTGGACTGTGTTTGGAAAGATGAATTAGAATATACATGTTTGATTTGGGGGAGTTTAGGAGAGTAATAGAGGAAGTAGAGAGAGCATTTCAAACTATGGAAACATCAATCAATGTTGTCCATTTTCTGACACTGGCTACACTCCTTCACATTCTCATCTCAGTAAACCAGCTAACAAATCTGTGAAGTAGACATCATTTTATGTATTTTATAGCTGAGAAAACTGAGTATCAGGAAATTTAAATAACTTATTCAGGTGTATGATGGCCTTTTGCCACAAATTTTGTATTTCAAGTATTTTATCCTTGTTTTTGTACACTCACTGGAATGTTGTTTTTAACTGCCTGCCGTTGAGTCAGTTCTGACTCATACACCCTGCATAGGGTTTCCGAGGAGCAGCTGGCAGGGTTGAACCGCCAACCTTGCGGTTAGCAGTCTATTGCTTCTACTATAGCATTACACCAGGAGAGATCACATATTTTGGGTTTCCAGACAATATCACAAACTTGGAATCATCACAAAAATCCATGTCATAATTTAGGGATCACTGAGGCAGCAAAGTAACACAACTGTTCCGTGATAGAACAAATACTGTAATCCAGGTGTTCAGTTTCACAGCGCTTTCTGCTACACCACAGCTGCATCCCAATTAGATGATGAGACTGGGGAGACACACAATGGCCACATTTTAATTTGAGGATTATATTAGCAGTGTAGTGGTACAAATAATGTATTAAAGGTTTATGAGGGAGGAAGAAACTGTTTCTCTTGTGTTCAAACCATCATCAGATTCTAGAATTAAAGTGAAAAAATTTTTCATTGTATTTAAAAACTTGATGATTTACGGTCTTAAAAATAAATTGTAACACTTGCATCAACAGCAAAACTAACTTTTAATAATAGAAAAACTTTTTCTACTAGCCAGAAATTATGATAAATGATAAAAGCATAAAATTAATAATAGTCTTCTGGCAAAACCAAATCAAGCCAAAACTACTGACATCGAGTCAATTCCAACTCATACTGACCCTATATAGGGTTTCCAAAACTATAAATTTTTATGGGAACAGACAGCCTCATCTTTTTCCCAAGGAGTGGTTGGTGAGTTTGAACCGCCAACCTTGTTCTTAGCAGTCCAATGCCTAATCTGCAGTACCCCCAAGACTCCTTAGTCCTGAAAGACATATATAATTTTGATTCTCTTGGGTGTTAATAAATAAGATGCCATATGCCAATGAAAGGAGAGAAAGCCTTTGACTTAAGGTTAGATTCAATATTCTGCAACAGTTCTTTTCTTTCAAGAAGAAAAAAATATATATATTATATTTTTAAATTTTCCAAACATGGTATCCAGAAAGGCACACTAAGTCAACATCTAGAGGGAATTGTTTAATTTATTACTTAAATAGTAACTTCTTTTCACCACTCAGGATTTAGCTGGAAAGCGCTATTTAAAGGAGAGAAAGGGAAAGAAATAGGAGACGACTTTAGGAGAAGTGCCAAGGAGATACTAGAACCGTGGTAAAAGTGAAAAAATGATGGCTGTAGGGATGGAAGGGAAGAGAGAAAGGGGTGTGTTTTGTTATTAATATGAAAAGAGACTCTTATGAAAAGGACAAAGCAGATCAGAGAAGAACTGTGCTTAGAGAAACTCACAAGTAGAGGCAAATTCACAATCTATTTGCCTGCATATTATCATGCTGAAAAGGTATATTTGATTGCAAAGGTAACCTATTGTGTTGGACTGTAGGAGTCCTGGTGTGACACTGTAGAATAAACACTTGACTGTTAACCCAAAGGTCAATGGTTAAAACCCTCCAGCCTCTCCTCAGAAACCCTTTGTTGTTGTTGTTTTTAAGTGCCTTTGAGTCTATTCAGACCCATAGTGACGGTTTCCGAGGAGTAGCTGGTGAGCTTGAACCACCCACCTTGCTGTTCAAAGCTACTTTGTAGTCTAGTGCATTAGCCCACAGCACCACACCAGGACTCCCGGAAAACCCTATTATACATGGGTAGCTATTAGTAGGAACAGACTCAATGGCACTTAACTACAACAACATATTGGGGAATTAGGGATTAGGTTAGCTGAGGAAAACACATTTTATTTTTCCATTGTTAGTAAACAAAAGAAACATCAGGGTTTCCAAACAATACTTTAGCAACCATTAAAAATAGTAAAGGTAGGCTTGGATAGAGAAGGAAGCAGGTTAGGTAACATTTTTTCTGATGTGCTAAACAGGGGACAGGGTGATTTGCCCATCTGAGGGATTGGGACCCTGAGGCATGAAGTAAGTAACACGTTTAATGATCTGAGAGGGTTTCAACTCTCAAACAGCTGAAAAGAATTATAACTTTAAAATATGGCTTTATTTGTTTATTAAAATATACAATTAAATGATTTTAGTAAATCTACAAAGCTTTGAAACTATCACCATAAACTAATTTTACATTTCCATCACTCCTCAATGAAAATTCCTACACCTTTGCACTCACTCTCCCTTCTCACCCCTAACCATTGCTTCATTTTATGGCTCTATAGATTTTTTTCTCTGGGTATTTCAAATAAGTTAGATGATGCAATATATGGTCTTTTGTGTCTAGCTTCTTTCACTTATCATAATGTTTGTGAGGTTCATCCTTTTGTAGCATGTATGCACATTTCATTATTTTAATTAGTGTATATTATTCCATGATAGGGACATATCATATGTCTTTTACCCTGTTGATGGACTTTTGGGTTTCCACCTTTTGGATATTATAAATAATGCTGTAATAGACATTCATATACATGTCTTTGTGAAGCCATATGTTTTCATTTTTCCTGGGTAGAAAACTATAAGTGGAATTGCTGGTTAATATGGTAACGTATTTTGGATGTATTAAGAAACTGTCATGCTGTTTTCAATAATGGCTCCTTCAGTTTATGTTCCCACCAGGAATTTATGAGGGTTCCATTTTCTCCATATCTTTGCCAACACTTGTTATAATCTGTCTTTTATTATAGCTGTTATTGTGAGTGTGAAGTGTTATCACATTGTGGTTTTACTTCACTCTTCCCTAATGACTGATAATGTTAAGCACCTTCTTATGAGTTTGTTGTCCACTTAATTATCTTCTTTGGTGAAATGTCTATTTAAGTTTTTTGTCCCATTAAAAAATAAGAGTTGTTTGTGTATGTGTGTGTAGTTGCAGATTCACATGTAGTTGTAGGAAATAATACAGAGAAGCCCTGTGTATTATTTATGCAGTATCCTCCAGTGGCAGCATCTTTCTTAATTACAGTATACTATTGGTATGGCCCTGTAGGATCAGCACTGGACTGGGAAGCACAAGGTAATCAGTTCAAACCCACCTCAGAAACCCTATATAGGGTTGTTATGAGTTGGAACCGACTCAGTGGCACTTAACAACAAAATCCCAACTAGGAAAATGACACTTACACAATCCACCTATATTATTTAGATTATTGGACTACAAGATCTTTTTGAACTTCAAGGTCAGTGGTTTAAACTCACTAGCCACTCTTCATAAACCCTATACAAGGTTGCTACGAGTCCGAACCAACTCAACGGCACTTAACAAGAATGACAATCTTTACCCATTGTGTGTATTTAGTTCTATGCAAGTTTTTTTTTTCTGTTTTAAAAATTATTTTAAAATACAGGTAATGC